ATGAATTTATGGATCTTAATGAAAAATTTATTTCATTTCTGATGGAATCAAAGGAAACAAAAGCAAAAGAAGAAGTGAAATGTAGGATGTTGTTAGCATGGACCAAACATGATATTGATGAAAGAAAAGAATGTTTTCTCAGTTTGGTGATGAAATTTCAGTTGACAAAAATGACGTTGTCATATAGAAGATTTCTTGTTGAAAATGAGCCATTGTTATTTGAATCCATGCAGTCTCTTCGATCACTGACTTTATCAATTCTGGACAGCCATGGAGATCTCAGTTCAAAAGATTTTAATTTAACAGAGAATAAACAGCTTGTTGTTTTTGACCAAACTTCTATGAGAATTCATTCTCATGATGTTGATGATAAAACATGGACACCAATGCAAACCATAGATCAAGCTATTACAAAGAATACATTATATTCTGCTGTAGTGATGGAATCTTACATTTATGTGATTTGTGAAAATGGATCGTTTTATAGACTCGAATATGCTGAATCAAATGCAAAGTGGGAACAAATGACAAATACAAATCTTCAGAATGCATGTGTAGTTGCACTTGATGGTTTTGTTTATGGTATTGAGTATGGAAAGCACTCAAACATTATGGAAAGATATGATCCATCAAATGATGAATGGACCAGACTTACGAACAAATCATTGATTCTAGCTTGTGAATCTTTGGTGGCTGCTTGTGGAAAGGTGTTTTGTATTGCAGGATATAATAAGCAAGGTCAAGCAACAAACCAAGTTGAGATTTATGATCCTGTCACATCAACTTGGTCAATGAATAATAGATCATTGAATGAAGCAAGATGTTGTGCTTCTGCAACTGCTACAAAGGAGGGGATATATGTCATGGGAGGGTATAATGTTAATGGAAGCTCAATTCTTGCTACTGCTGAATTTCGTTCATCTGTAACTAAAACCTGGATGATGTTGGAACCAATGAAAAATGCTAGAAAAGAGTTTGGTAGTTGTGTGATTGATGAGAAAGTTTATGTCATTGGTGGAAATAGAAATCCTGCAAATATAGAGGAATATGATCCTGAAACAAAAAAATGGAAAATCATTGAAACAACACCAGGAAAAAATATAACTCCAATGGCAACTGTTGCAATATCTATATAACATTGATAGCTATTATTCAATGGCTATAGGCAATTATGGATCTTGTAGGGAACTTTATTGAATTTTATCATACCTCGATCTAACTCAGGGTCCAAATCCAGGCCCACGGGATCCGCCGCTTCATTATCTGTTGCCCTCGTCACATTTCTGGGAGAGTAAACAAAAAATTGCATTAGTTTTGTTTGGTCATAAAAATAACCAGAAAAATCTTCTGACATTTTGTTACATCATTCATGTCAATGATTTGACTAGTTTTATGGCTGGCTGAGGCGAGCTAGCGAACTTGAAAAAGTGTGCTTGGCTAGCCTGAATTGTTAACTGGCGCTCTATCTTTTTCATCTGGAATATATGCTAACAGAAAAGACTTCATAGAACTTAAAATCGAATTAGGAATCTATTAGCCTAGGTTGCCTATGCCTGGTAACCAAATTTCGATGTAATATAATATAATTCCTGCCGTGTGTTTATTGCAACCAGCCTAAACAGTATTACAAAAAATGCTTCATATATGTGAGAAAATTTAGCTCTTACCCTACTGTATCTCAAATACAATGCGTGCTTGATATGTCTGCAGGTTGTTTTGGTGGCAATTTAAAATGGCATTTTTTTTTTGGCACTTCCTCTGTTATGAAGAGTTTGAAATCTTGCACTGAATGTAGATATAGTAAGATTTTTGCACATTTTAGTGAGTTTTTTTGTGTTTTCGCATGTTTCAGCTTGATAAATGACAAATAATGATCAATGTGTTTTGACAACAAAATTGTTTGTTATATATTGCATTGTTTACCTATTCTTGGCACTATTGTGACCCTCAAAAATAAAAAAAATAATAGTATGGTCCCCGAGTCCGACAACCTTGAAACACCCTGATGTAACTATTATCTGATTAATAATTCGACCACCTGACCACTTACATATTACCTAATGTTTTTAATTCTAATAGCGGTTTTTCATTTTCCTTTTGTTATTACATTATTGATTTGATAATGATCACGATTTTATTTTATTATTCCTCAACATTTTACATTTTTTTTAATATTCCATTCAATTTTGTGACATGCCATAATGGTGGTGTTGACCTCGTTCAATTCCTATTTATGTTTTATGGTTTCACAATTTGAAATCCTTTCATTAAAAATAACTTAATTGTTTTAAAAATCTTTTCTAACCAGAATATTATTTATTCAACCTTGCCTTAGTAATAACATTACTGCTGATCACAGTTGACCAATTGATTTTTTCATTTTTAAGGATGGGTTCATTTCATATCATCATTTGTATAACGAGATAAGAGATATGTTATGGTATTTTTCAAGTGATTTTCGGCGCAGCGGTGTGACTCAACGGGCTAAGCGTTAGTAATACGCTCGCCACCCCACCTCTAATTACTCTGCGTGGGTTCGCAGGTTCGAATCCCATGCAGGGATGGTTCTGTGCGAGAGGATTGCTGGACTCCTCGCCGTCGTTGGGTGGTTCACGTAACCGCTGGTCGGTCACGGCTTCCTCCTCCTCAACTGTCCTGCACACAGTCAAGCACCTTGCATCACATGAACCAAACTACATCAAGGAATCCAGCAGTCTTCTCGCACATAACTATCGCCACATGGTATTCAAACCTTGCAAACTAACGCAGGGTAATCAGAGTTGCGGTGGTGGGTCTATTCCTAACGCTCTTACCACTCCTATTCCTAACACACAGCCGTTTTATTCTTATACTTTATGCACCTAAGAATAAGAAAAAGCAAAAGTTGTTAAAAATTTTTCTATTCCTATCATTTTATGGAAGACTATGGTAGTTAAAAAATAGTTCCTTAAAAGGTTTCCAAGAAATGCTAATATTGTTTAGAAGTTATTGCAGTGTCAAAAAATTATATGAGCCGTATTGGTATTTGCATCAGTTTGTCAACAAGTTTCGAATATAATCCCATATAAGATAAGTATAAACACTAGTTGTTTATTAGGTCATCAGTAAACAATTATTTTACCCACAGTATAAAAGAAGGAGAATGATAAATAATGAATACTACCTAATTAATATACCGGTATGTAATGCACAATGCTATCGGTAAACCACAAGATGTTATTTATATTCTGTCCCTCATGCTGTTGTAATTTTAGTTACTTTTACTTATATTAAATAAAGTTTGTTGTTGTTAACCTATGAATATTTTGCTTGATAAAGAAATTTTATGCTTTATATCAGGGATGGCGAACCTTTTTCAATGAATGGGTCAAAAATCATAATTTTATCACGGAACAAAAGAGTGTGGGTCACAGATATTCAATCAATGTTTGTATCTATACGAAACTTGCTGCTGCATCTTAACCTTTAATTCTTATGAGCTTCAGTTGGTGTTGTGTAGTTTTGGGCTTTATTTATGCACTTCTATCAGGGACTACTAGACTCTTCATGGCACTCAATTTTATGAAATTTGTGTACAAAAACATACATATCAATTACCCAAAAACGTTTTAGGATGAAGAGGCAAATTAATTTACATCACCAAAGAGTTAGGTAGTAATTCTACTCTGATCGAGTTATGCTTCATCGTTATTTCATAACTCACATCCAGTTCTCGTATACCCACCCTGATAAAAAAAATCATTCTGCAGTGCCTTTTGGTTTATGCACTTCTAAAAAAGGTAACGCTGTAGCAAGACATTGTGAGAACTGAATGATTCAATTGTACTGTTATGCCATAAATAATCTACATAACGATATACACGGGTGAGTGAACACGTATGTCCAAGATTGGTAGTTTTGGAAATTACCATACCGACCCAGAATTCAAAATTGGAATTTAAGCGTTCCCGGCAACTAGCTGCCAATGGACGGTACATTATTATAGTTTACCCATTGGTAAATTTAATTATAGTCGGTTTTATCACTTACCGGTATATGTTAATGTTTTTTATTTAGTTTGTGCCTGGGGGGGGCACCGAAAAAAACGTGATGGTTCATTTTGTCACCCATGGGTCAGTGGTTCGCCATCCCTGGTCTATGATTTCAGAATTTCTAGTCCTACCTTTTTCATTAATTTACATTAATGAAAAATTAATTTACAAATTAGTTTAATACAATGATTCATTACAATGAAGTTTTTCATCTGTATGCTTTAGAGGTGTTAATATTAAATACTCTTTTCTTGAAGATCGCTGTACTTTTTGATTATTTATTTTGTTCCACTGCTTTCTTGATAGAATTATTTCTCACTTATGCATTTTGTAAATGTGGTAAATCCGTGTTTTTTGTCATGGAAAACCTGTTAAATACATTTGACATTATGAATGGTAATATTTTGGCTAGTGGCTCTTAAACTTTTATTACATTGCCCCTGCTGAATATATTGGTTTCTGTTCATCCAATATCAACTTTTTGCAGTTGCAAAGTTGAAATTGCCAAGATGAAAAAAAAAATTTTAATTGTATAAAAATTTATTCAACCATGCCTTAATAATAACCTGACCGCTGTTGACCTATGCATTATTAATTAGTATTTTCGATTTCATTTGTATGGTTCGATAACATACTTGTTTTTAAAAAAAATTAGTTGAAAATTGAATAATTTAATTGTCGTTATCCCTCCCGAGTGGAGTAGCTTCAGTGTGAGCAGTCAATATTTGTCTTTAGTCTTTACATAGCTCCGAGATTGTGTATGTACTTATTTGATCAGGCATTGCCTTAGTTATAGTTTCAAGTTTCATTATAATCATTCTTTTATAAAGCAAGTTTATTTATGATGAACTGTGAAGTCTAACTCTTTTAATTATAGTTTCTCTATTGTTCAGGGTATTATTATTATTATTAATAGTGGTATAATCATAAGCAGTACAAAGTGATAAAACAAAAAAGGGCATCTCAAAAATGGAAGAAAAAATCAATACAGATTCCAAAGAACATGCTGTTGAAATTTTACAACAATTGAATGAATATCGTAAAACTGGACGTCATTGTGATTTCAGGATCAAAGCCGGATCTGAGGAACTTCCTGTTCATAAGAATATTGTGTCGGCAAGTTCCGATTATTTTAAAGCAATGTTATCTCATGAAAATGTTGAAACAAAATCTGGTGTCGTTGAAATAAAGGAGTTTGATGAAGTTTGTGTTAAAAAATGTGTTGATTTCATTTACACTGGGGATGCTTATGTTGCCAAAGAAAAACGTGAAACACTCATGGGTGTCGCTCACATGATGCAGCTGCAAAGACTTTGTGATAGTATCGCAATTTTTCTGGAAGATGATCTTGATCCTAGATCGTTTTTTCAAACTAAAAAAATTGCAAATAGGTACAACTGTAAACAACTTGAGGAAAAATGCAATCAATTTGCATTGCAACGTTTTACAGAAATTGCCCAGTCTGATGAGTTTATGGATCTTGATGAAAAATTTATTTCATTTCTGATGGAGTCCAAAAAAACAAAAGCAAAGGAAGAAGGGAAATGTAAGATGTTGTTAGCATGGACCAAACATGATATTGATGGAAGAAAAGAATGTTTTCTTAGTTTGGTGACGAAATTCCAGTTGACAAAAATGACATTGTCATATAGGAGATTTCTTGTAGAAAATGAACCACTAATACTTGAATCTGGAAAATCTCTTCAGTCATTGACTTTGTCAGTTTTTGACAGTCATCATGGGGATACTATTTCAAAAGATTTCAATTTAACAGAGAATAAACAGCTTGTTGTTTTTGACGAAACTTCTCAAAGAATGCATTCTCTTGATGTTGATGATAAAACATGGACACCAATGCAAACCATAGATCAAGCAATTAATCAGAATACATTATATTCTGCTGTAGTGATGGAATCTTACATTTATGTGATTTGTAGAAATGGATCGTTTTATAGACTTGAATATGCTGAATCAAATGCAAAGTGGGAACAAATGACAAATCTAAATCTTCAGTATGCTTGTGCAGTTGCACTAGATGGTTTTGTTTATGGTATTGAGTATCAGAGTTACTCAAACAATATGGAAAGATATGATTTATCAAATAATAGATGGACCAGACTAACAAACAAATCATTGATTCTGGCTCATGAATCTCTGGTATCTGCTGATGAAAAGGTGTTTTGTATTGCTGGATGTTCTAAGCAACGTCTAGCAGGACAATATAGGCAGCAATATCGAGCAACAAACCAAGTTGAGATTTATGATCCTGTCACATCAACTTGGTCAATGGATAATAGATCATTGAATGAAGCAAGATATTGTGCATCTGCAACTGCTACAGAGGAAGGAATATATATTATGGGAGGTTATAATGTTAATAGTAACACTATTGATAGTGTTGAATTTCGTTCATCTGTAACTAAAACCTGGATGATGTTGAAACCAATGAAAACTGCAAGAGCAGAGTTTGGTAGTTGTGTGATTGATGACAAAGTTTATGTCATTGGTGGAAATGAAAATTCTGCAAATATAGAGGAATATGATCCTGAAACAAAAGAATGGAAAATTATTGAAACAATACAAGGAAAAAATATAATTTCATTGGCAACTGTTGCAATATATATATAACATTAATTACTCTTATACTTCACAAATATAGTACTCATAATCTTCATGAAAAAAATACTTATCAGTCTTTCTAATGTAATCTCAAATTATTTTTTTCATAATGATGAAACCTGTATATTAATCATTTGTGTGGTAATATTTAGATGTAATAATTTATTTAACCAAAAGGTTTATTTGATTTTTGTTTGCTTAAGAATGAATTTACAGAATGTTAAATTCTCTTTACAGATAGCCAATATCAATAATTTAATTGTTTGGTTAGGTAATCATTACCTATTTCATTTGGAAGTGACAATTGAAAATTAAGTTCATATCATTAGTGTTTATTTATTTTTATTTTTATATCATTGCATTTGTTATGGTCAACAATTTAATCTCTAATTCATGAAAATGTATCATTTTTCAATATTTTATTCAATTTTGTGATATATCAGATTACATGGGCTTACCCCATATTATTTTTTGTGGTTGGTATGGTATGGGTTGTTATCATATCTTTCTCATTACCTCGCATTAATTGTTTACGATGGGGCCTATCTGATTTTAGTTTCATACAATAATTCAAGTTTTTTATCTTTATGATCCAGTGTGGGTTATTTATATTAAATGCTCTTTCCTTCGAAATCACTGTGTTTTGATATAACTAGTTCGAAGATATGGATCTTTAAATGCGTTGATTGTAATTCATGCTCTTTATTCTTGAAGTAACTGACCAAAAAATTGTGTTTATGTAAATAGGTTAGTGGCATTAAATCTTTTATTACATGGCCCCTATTCCACAAATTGGTTTCTGTCCATTCAATATCAAATTTTTGCAAATCTATTATTTCAAATAGAAGTAAATACAAAACTCTTGGATCACTGTTGTGTGTTGTCCAATGCATTATTAGTGTTTTGTATTTTTGAGATGAGACTCATTTCATACCATCATCTGTATAACATCATAACAGACTTGTTGTGGCCTTCAAGGTTGAGAACAATTATGCAACTTCTGATATTTTTATTCTGAAAATGATGATGATTTTGAGAAAATTTCTTTCTCGTGAATTTCTTTGCATCTAGTGAGCCATGAAATATAATCATTATTTATTGATTTCAATTCCTGATTAGCAGACAATAAGTTCTGTAATAAAGGAAATATGATTTTATTGAATATTCTTCAAAATTTTATTATTGTAGTATATTAATATTGACTAATTTACTGAACTTGATAAAATATACTGTGTTAGTGAAATTGTCATTGTTATTACGTTATGTATATAAGGTACTAGAAGGAAATATAAATTTTCATTTTGATGCTTGTAGTTAATCTTCTGACAAATTCTTACTGGTATTATTTACGTAATTTTTCACAGCTGTAATTTGCAATATTGATATCATAATTAGATCAGCTGAGAAAGAAATTAAATATTCTCTGATAGTCGTAAAGTTACTGCCAGCCTTTAAAACAGCGTTTCCCAACCTTTTTTGGTCGCGGACTATTTTCTCACCGGCGAAAGCCTTTGCGGACTCAACGTGCGTTTATTGCAAATGTACTCTGCGTGAAGGAGTAATAAAACCAAACACAACAGAATTTTAACGAATTGCGCGTTTGTTGATAGAGCCAACTTTTTCATGTATGAATGGCCTTTTCTGTCGCATAATATTCAATCAATGACAACGACAAAAATATAAAATGTCTTTCCATTTTAATTTAGTTGTGTTCATGGCCATGTCTTTCTATTTTAATTTAGTTGTGTTCATGGTCACTCGCGGTTGCGTCGACTTGACAAGATGAAAGCGCTACTTCTCTAATGCCACGGCAATCTGCGAACATAATGATGTGAGAATATATTGCCCGATTATATTTAGTTTTGATACATATTATTTGCGATCTTGCAAATTTGTTATCGCTGTTAGAAAAATCCTACTATCTGCTATAAATTTCCAGAAAGTACAACTTGATTTAGTATTTATTAAAAATATAATTAAAGTATTTTAGTAAATAAAAAATCGCCTTTCTTTAATATTAATTTAATTGTGATAATTTCAATCTGCGGTTGTGTTGACGAAATAGAAGCAATACTACTCAGAAAATATCATGACAATCCGTGGACACAAAAATGCGTGGTAAAGTGCCCGATTATATGTTGTTTTGATTCGTATTTTTGTGAATTCGACAAATCTGAGCTGTTTGTATAGCACTTACAGCGCTCCAGTACTGTGCGTACCAATGTGAAGGCAGTAAAGCAAAGAATTACAAGTGAAAATGCCCTGATTCGGATACTACAGTAGCACCCGAAATTTTGCGATTTGCTATGTCTAAAAAAGCGTTTTTAATCGGTCGAGGACCATCATATAACTTAACTTATGGTGTTTTCCGTTTTATTTAAAGTATTGTGTATTTGGGTTGCCACCGTTGACACCTACCAGAAAAAAAAATTCTTCAATCGTTTGATTAAGCGACGCACAAGTGGCCTGTCGCGTCACCTGTTACCAAATTTTCGAATAGTAAATTGCTTTCTAATAGTTGAATATTCGAATATATGCCCAGCCCTACTCAGTACCCAGTAATTATTGACTCGATTAATGGTACAGTATATGAATAAATTTGCTCCTCATATTTTATGTAAATTGTAACCTAAATCGTAACTTTGCTAATGGTCAAGTTTCGCAGTAATTTCTGGCTCGTTGCTGACTCATTCCAACGCTCCGCGGACTCATTTGAGAGGGTTGGGAAACACTGCTTTAAAACGGGTGTGCAAAGTGCGGCCGCAAGGAAAAATTGTGCGACCCGCGGGGAAATGCTAATTTTGAATAGTGTCCAGCCAGCGGAATGAGTTTTTAATTTTTTTTAATTCGGTTCCCTTTGTGTGGCAAAGCTCATATCAGAGTCCAATTTATGATCTATGCATAAGGAGTTACAATTTCGGCTCAACATATTTTTCCCAAGTGGGCCTTTTAAAACAGCTTGAGAGAAAACGACTTGGAAATGGATATCAAATGACTAGCACTTACATTAAAGCAAATTTGGATAAAGGTAGTCGGAAAAATAATCCAGCAGCAAATTTCTCACTCAATTTGTTTGAATTTGAATGAAAGTTTTCAGACATTTTTGCGTTTCAACTTATCATTTCTGCAAGGACCTCCAATAATGCCATGAGATCAATAACAAAACGACACTGTTCTGTGTCTGCAACTAATAGAGAGCCTATGTTAAATGAAGGTGCGTCCCGCGGTTTTCCCAGTTATCGATAACTGGCCCGCCTACGTTGCACACCCCTGCTTTAAAACATGCTTGATTCGGCACTCGACAATTTCCCAAAAGATTGTTGAAGATGATTTGATGCATATTTTTGATAAAGATCTACACAGACAACACATGTCATTATTGTTTGGCAAAAAGTGGAATTGATATCAGACTGTGGAGTTGGCAGTTTAGTAAACTCATTTTGATATTGGCTAGAAACGACTATTTCAAATGTCCTTGAGTTGGATTCAAAATAGATTAATGGCCTAAAGTTTTATAAAAGTTTTTTTTATACCTAGAACACCAGTAGATTCTGGAATTGTGAGAAAGTTTTAAAAAGTGGAGTAGTTTTTAATTTTGATGGTGTCATCGCACACAAAAACTAAATACTAAAAAGCCAACAGAATTCTTTGAAATGAATGAAAGAAATAGACTTTTAGCGAAAAATACAATCTTAACCCAATGGAAATTTCAAAGCAATTCCTCCAATAGGTAATGAGGAAAGATATTTTTTCACAAGAACATAATAACAAAACAATCCATATGTACACTTCATGTCCAATTAGAATCTAGAAGATCGGGGAATTATATTTTTGGTGATCTGCTGATATTGTCGAGCAATCGTGATCACACTAGATGGTATCCAAGAGTCACTCAATCCAAAGTCCTTATTGATTGCGTTTAGATTTATTTTAGTGACTGTAAAATTTTCAAAGTCAAACGGTAAATAATATGTCGTAGGCAAAAAAAATAATGAGATTAACAAGGCATTTTTTTTTAGCTGTTGGGAGTCTCCTAGAACAAAGTTTATAGTGTTTTCCGTTTCATTTTAGTATCTTATATTAACTCTCCAATGTGGAAATTCGGCTTGCGAATTGACTTCTCTATTTATCTTTAACATCTCATCGCTGATAATTATGAAAACGCCTCGATTCTAGAACCAACTTTTGGCCTGATTTGGGAGAGGGGGACGGCATCTAATTGGGTGACGATTGGTAATTTCCATTATTTTGGGTCTGCTTATTCAGTTTGTACCATAAAATACTGCCTCCCCGTCAGGCCAGTTTAAATTATCATGAGTTGAAGGGCTATTGCCGTTACTATCACATGTGCGTTGCATTTCGTGAAAAGCGTCAATTGTTTTCGTCTCCATAAACATTAGGCCATAACATCTTTTATTTCAGTGTTTATTTTTCCATTAATCACAATTTCTCAAGACATATGTTTTGTGTCACGCACCATATTTGTGAGAAAACGAGTTATTACATAATCATCGGTGATGAAATTCTAAGATAAATAAAGAAGCGACATTATAAAATACTAAAAATAAAACAGAAAACACCATAAGTTTTGCTTTAGAATGGCCCACGACAGATTTTATTTGGCCACATGATTGCCAGTTATGTTGAACACAATTAAATTAAAAAGACTGTTATTATGGGTTAAATATTATGTGGTAGAAAAAGTCATTATGAGCTATTTTACCGAATGCGCAAACACTGCGACCATTCCAGAAGCCGATTTTCCTTCCCGTCTTATTGTGGGGTTATATGTAAAACCCTTACATGCTGGGTATACCGTTTCGCCCGGAAATACAGCATATAATAACTCTCAGTGGATTCACAAGTTACATGCAGGAAGAAAAATGAATTATCATGACACCGACTTGAAGGGTGTTTACAGCCTAAATAACATGCCACACTTAGAAAACAATTAGCAAAATGCGTTATCGGGCTGCACTACTGATAATGGCTATGGAGCCGGAGCTGGAGCCAGCTCCGGCATAAAAAAATGAAGCTCCG